CCCCAAAACCCCAAAACCCCAAAACCCCAAAACCCCAAATTTATAAAATAAACTGATTGCTATATTATTTATGATGAAGCTTGAAGGTAAGGAACTAGTGCCAATTACATTTTTCAATTACAGCCTAGCCGCTGACTGGTTATCCAAAGGAATCATAAATTTCCTGCTGCTAGAATATGCCTTAGAATGAATAGTTCAGTACTAAAACTACCTCAATTTCTTAAAGGAATGCTAAGACATTCAGACAAATTACGGAATTAAAGGAATCAAAGTTTATACCATTTTAAATTACTACTTAAAGAAATTCTGAATTTGCTTAGGGTCCTCTGCTGATGCAGGGAGAGGTAGTAAGGCATATAACAGCCTTTTAGCAACCTCCTAGTATACCTTAAGAAAATTTTGAGTATGTTTCAGCTCAATTTTTGCCTCTGCTTATTCTAAAATGTATAATTAGAACCAACCCAGAAAAGCCCTTCCAAATTTAAGGGATTACTCAGCAAGCTAGCTTGTTGAATGCGTAAGGAGCAAAACAAGGTATCCACCAGGAAGACCAGAACGAAACTCTCAAAAGTTATTTATAATAAAGAAGACCAGGATAAGGTATCTCAACTCTTTAATTTTTCGATTCTGAAAACCTGTTTTTAAATTGATATTGTCTTCTTCTGTGATCACAATGAAGTCTACGCCCCTAAATTATACTTTGGAGCATAAATACTTCTTACCGGCACCAATATGTGCAACTGATCATTTCGAATTTTAAATTAGTGAAAATTCTAGATTAAATAACTTGTGTGATTGGTTTAGAGATTTCGATCATTTTATATCTGAAAATATTTCGATTAGAGTAAACCTTAATTTTTCGAAAATACCTGTAGTAATTTTCTGAACTAATCCAGCATTCCTTCTCTTAGGAGTAGTAGTTACTCTTAGATTGTTGAGGAGCAACTCCTATCTTCCAATTCCAATGAGAGCCAAAAATTTAGTATTTATTTGTTTATTCATTCATCAAAATTCTCATCAAACTAGGCCTCAGATAATTTATAAACTATCATTCGGTAGTTATCCGAATAAAACTTCTAAGGCTACATATATCGTGTAGATACTTTGCATTTTGTTCAATAACAAGAATAAATTTCCTTGGTAGATTTAGGCTGATGTTTCACTCATAATCCCAAGAATGAATAGAACAGTTTTCTTTGCTTTCTTGCTCGGAAGGATGATTCTTATACTCTTAAGTCAGGTTTCCAGTATGAAATTTTCATAACGCCTCTCTAAATCTTGGATGGAAATATAATACTGATTATATAACCTTGACCACCTTCTGAAAGCAAGCCATAGAGACTGTAGTAGGCTGTAGCCTACTACCGTGACTTTCCTATGCTATCTTTGCTTAATAAAAGGGTTCAACCATTTTAATAGTACTATAATAACCAAAGATTTTTCTGAGAAAATTACTGGATTTTGAGTGGATATTTTTAGTTCGAAAATTTGCATCTAAGTCCCTGCTACCTTGGAAATACTATTTATTACAAACCTGATATCAACTTTTTTGACAAAGATAGGCTCAGCTTTATTAAAACCATCTTATAAAGCCTAACAACCAGAATGGAATTGACAGCATTCGAGAGTCGACCTTAAGCCAACTCTTGATGGGAATCCGTTCTAGAGAAGGAGACTAAACATTTCTAAAGATTTTAGAGCGTTTTTACAGAGGTTGAAGTCTGCTCCCTCACCAAATAATATAAAAACGACTGTATACAAATATCGTCCTATTTATGCCTAGCTGTAGATATATTAACCTATTAAACTCGATTGCACAAATTGGAGAAATAATGAGCGATATAGAATACCGAACAGAAAGGATGAAGACCAAGCTGATTCTCATCCATACGGAAGACTAATGATCAGAACTTATCAACTCCAATGAAAAGTCTTCAGCAAAGACCTTCCTGTAAGCTTATTTTATGATTCCGGCATCATAGTATTAATTTCGACACCTATTTTTGCTGTTTTGTTGTTTAAAAATTTATCGTAAAATAGTGGTTTTAACTTCTAAATAGTGAAAGACCGACTCCTCAATACTGGAGATAAAAAAGACAGCCTTAACGCTAAAATATCGCCTATCATGCAGAAGAGACATTCGAAGAATTCTGGTAATTCGACTGTTGGAACTAACCAGATTGAAACCAAAGCCTTTAGTTCTCCCTATATGAAGCAATTTATTTCAAAGAACTTGAACCAGTTGAATAATTTTCCGAGTGGTAAGTATCATTTTAAGACTTTTATCTTACTAACTCTTCTCTAGCTGGTGAAGTAGAGTACAAATATATGGGAAATGAAGAGGATAGCAGAAGTGGGAAATCTGATAGCAATAGGGAAGACCTGGTTGGGCAGAGTATGATCAAACAAAAGTCAGTACCTCTCTCTTTAAAAACAACTAATAAGCATTCAAGTTTTCAAGACAATAACTTGTTAGTCCCATCTTCTATCCAGGAGGATGAAGTTGAAGAGACTCTGAGAAGCGCATCTCCAAACCTTATTATAAGAAGTAATCAATCACGGATTGCTGAATGGAGAACACAAAAGAATATAACTCTAGATGAATACAATGAATTCTCAGAACATTGCAGTGACTACAACCAAGTTGAGGTCATTGAAGATTATGTAGAGAGCCTAAATCGAGCAATGAGTGAGAAGAATGTAAATCCTATCCACAACAGGAAAAGATCAACTTTTAGAAAATTCTACCATTCCAACTTTGAAGAAGAACTCTCTGTAAGTGACGAGGAAGGATCTTTGGAGATTGATGAAGAGGAAGATGAAGAAATACTCAGGCAAGTAAACCAAAGGCTTTCACTAAATGCTAAGAAAGACCAGATTGAAGGGATTAAAAGGAAAGAGTCTAATACGAATACCCAATGTATAACTCAGCAGAAGAAATGAATGTCGAAGAGGAGCGAGTTCTCTCAGAAAAATATTGTCTCGTCTATTCCTACTTCTCATGTAGACATAGATACTATCGGTGGAAAAGTAAGTACCTTAATCCTAATCCTTTATAGACAGTGGTGAAGAGGGTCACCAAAGAAGAGAAAGAAGCCATTGTCAAGAAGAGATTGAGGAACTTCCTTCTCTAGAATCACGACTATCAGTAAATCATCGTAATTTTAAATTTTCTGTCAAATCTTTTAACTTGCATAGTATTTTCTTCCTTTCTATGCAGCCTGCTTTTGGTTAAGTGTCTACACATTGCTGGTACTATTAAAAAGCCATTTCTCCTGAAACATAGTAAAATAATATATGGGGTTTTGGGGTTTTGGGGTTTTGGGGTTTTGGGG